CAAGGCGTGCTTGCTCAACGACTAGTATGCCCGCGCGTACAAAGGTACTAGCGTCCACATTGCACTTTTCCATCTCACTTTGCACTTGCTCATTTCACGTTGCACTCTAGGCAAGCTCATTGTGCGCTTCGACGACACGAGCCCGTCCAAGGAGAAGGACGAGTTCGAGCAGGCCATCTTGCAGGAACTCGCGCGCCTCAACGTATGTACACGATCGATGGCCTCCTGCTCACCGTGTGGTCTTCTTCTCGCGTAGATCAAGCCCGATATGGTGTCCAAAACAACGGCGAGTCACGACGACGACGTCTTCGGAGCGCGCGCGCCATCTCTGGGCGCTGATCCCGATGGCTTGATCTCGAGCACCTTACGCATAACGTCCTCCCGCTTGTACACGGCACCGAGCCGAGACCACTGGCAGCGCCACGCCGACATATTGCTCGCGGCGAACCTCTCACTCGACGTCGCCTACGATCCGGTCTGTGCTCGAGCTGCCGACGAGTCGAGCTCGGAGCCCTCCGCAGCCATCAACTTTAGCTGCGCGCGCCCAAGGCGCAGACGCGAGCTTGGCATGGGCCTCGATCTTGACGGCATCGGCGCAGCGCACTTTCGCGTCTGGCACGAGGTACCACACTGCTTTCACGCGGCATTTGTTCCAGAATGTGACTAGCGCCGGAATCGATCGAGATTCCGACCCTGCCGCAGCTTGTGGGTCTCCTACTTCATCGCGAGCGTGCGCAAACCAAGTCTGAACGTTGTGATCAGGTATGTACGACTTTCTCGAGGCAGTAGACGCTTCTGACGCTGATACCGTGGTCGGCCAGGCTCGCGGTACAAGCCACCGATGCAGTTCCTCTACAATGCACCGTCGACGCTGCATTCTTCTCCGCCGCCATGCGCGGGATTGCACGGCGCGTCTGCTGAGGCGCTGGCAAACACATTGCCACGTCATGGAGCCTTTTTGGCCAATCAGATGCTAGTGAATTTTAACGGGTGGCCTGTGCGTCAAATTCGGATCACAATTCAGTTCTTCACTTTCTTCTCGTCGAACCTGCTCCCCATAGAGCGCTAGCGGTGGATTACTTCAAGTAGACTCGACGTTCTTGTGGTTGACTGTACTGTGGGCTGGACCAAGGCTTGGTCGGACATTACGTTGGGTTTGTGTTGGCGCTGTTCGGACTTGCTCTGGTCGAATATTCCTTAAAGAATTAATGCAATTGTTTCGTTTCCTGGGTTATACTACCAGGAGAATGTGTAGACGTGCAGTGTGGACATTAGGCCTTGGACTTGGTTGCTTGCTCGATGCGTAGAATGAGGATGGACAGCTTCTCGTGGTCGTCTGGAAGCTCTTCCTCGCAGACGCCGCAGATTGTCGCTTCCATCGGTTGGTGTGCGTCGCAACAGTCGCAGAAAAGACCGTCGTCGATCTCAAATCCGTTCTTCTTGGCGACGGCCAAGCGCTTCAAGAGAGCCTTGAGCTTGGACGTAATAGAGGCTAAGGGTGCCGCGCAGGCTTTGCAGTGCGACTCGAGCAGCGAGTTGAACGCGCGGCAGAGCTGACACACAGCGTGCGTGCTCACGGGCATCGACGAAGGCGACGACGTCTAGTTTCGAAGCACGCAAGTCGGTGAGATATCATCGAGGCATGCTTGACGTTGGTCGCACCGGCGTGTGAGTCGAGACTGCAGGTGCCTTGGGCGGCGCTGGCGATTCGATAGCTGGTGCTACATAATCATCAAAATCATCGCTCGACTCCTCGCTCGTCCGTGGTGGTGGGCTCTCGTTGGACAACACTTCCTACGCAAACATGAACAAAGCACTCTTCCAGAGAGAAACCGCACCAAGGGGCTACTCCCGTCACTTGGCGCGGCAAACTTGATCTCTGGTTCACGCCCGGCAGGCGCCGCAAGCTCTTCTTCGCTGCGACCGAGCAACTTTTGAAGCGACTGGACTAGCATCAGCGCGGACGGACGCTGCGTCGGGTCAAACGACAGACAGGCGTCGGCGAGGTCTCGCAGCCACGGCGGACAGTTTGCGCTTACTGTCGGACGGAGGTTGCCGAGACGCACGCCGTCGATGATCCCCCAGTACCCGAGGCCCTTGGCGTCGTGAAAAGGCAACTGAAGCGTATCCAGCTCGGTCAAGACGACGCCAAACGAGTAAATGTCAGCTGCAGAGCTGTAGTTGCTCGTCGACGTGAGCACCTCGGGCGCTGTCCAGTACGGTGTGCTCTTGCCCGTGTTGCGTCCGACTCGAGGCCAGAACCCCAGGTTCGCGACTTTAATGTAGTTGGACGCCGTCGATGA